GGCTTTGACATCAGATTGGAGCTGTTTTAATATTACCACAGTGAGCAAGGCTGGATGATCAAATTAGGCCAAACAAACTGCTAAACTGTACAGGATCCCTGGTTTTTAATTAGGCCTAAATAAAAATCTGTTTGGGAATATTCACAATTAAATAGACAATCAACTGCTATCAGCAGGGGACAAAAACTGCCATGATGGCCCTAAAGGTGGGCACTGTGAAACCTGAAGTTAAGGCTGTGGCTATGACAAATTCCAGTTCTGTGCTTACGTGTTACATATTGTGAAGTTGATAAGTTTGATCAACTCATACAGCAAACCTTGTATTCCCTCAGAGAAAAAGTGCATTGCATAGGGAACAGGAGGAAGTCGGGGTCAAAAGGAGACCAGCATTTCATTTTGACTCTAGAACCCATAGCAAGTCTGAAATCAGTGGTGTAAAGTAACTCATTTATCCTATACTGTACAAATATTAGGCTCTTGTGCTTTACTTGCATATTTTCCTTTTATTCAACCTGTTCCACCACATTTTAGAGGTAAACATTATATAAACATTGTATAAGGTGGCATTGTACTTACAACATACAATACTTCTTGTCCTACTGTATTTATGTGTTGAATACTGAGGTAACTGTCGTTTATTTGAGTATTTCCATTTTGTAATACTTTGACCTCACTACATTTCAAAGGCAAATATTGCACTACATGTAAGCTATCTGATAACTTTAAAGACCCCTGGTGGGAAATTCACCCAACACTAAGTACTTCTAAATAGGCTACATGATAATTAATATGAGCTCCACCTTTACCAAGTGCAACATTAAAGTGATGAACACAATAATGCACCAAATATTATAATCAAATAATATAACATACATTCATGTGAAATGGCCCATTCTGCATAATGAGTACTTTTACTTATACTTCAAATATAATTTGATTCTAATGCTTTTGTACTTATAGTAGTATTTTGAATGCAGAATTTTGCTCATAACAGAGTATTTTACACAGTTGTACTGCTACTTTTAACATAAAGGATCCAAGTACTTTCTCCACTGGTTAAGTCTGTGGTAAAAGCAGGACCTATAGTGAAAAGCAATATACATACAAATACTTCACACATGCTGTCATATCATCTACTATCACACTGTATTATTTAGTGGTTTAGGACATAAATGACTGTGGGTGGAAAAACAAAATGTGCACACAAGCCTGAACATCTGGATGGGGGCGCTGTGACAATAAATGCCCAGAGAGCGTGGCGCTATACATCTGACACAGGAGAATTATAGAGTTAATAGTATTTGGCATGACAGAGAGAGAGAGCGGGGAGTGCAGTGCCGTGCCTGAATGCAGTCTCATCCTGTTTAGTATTCACTGTGCGCAGTGCCCGGAGGCCCCGGAGGGCTCACCTGTCCGGAGTCTAGACGAGCTACCACACACGTTAGCGGGATCGAACGCGCCGTCCCCGGCTTCACGGTCCGTGCGGTGTCGGACAGGAGGGAGCTGGTTCCACCACCCGAGGGAGAAGACACCGCTGTGAGTGAGTGGGCTGAGTGGTTGTACTGGTGGGTGGGGCTCAGACAGTCGGGTCGGCTGGGAAGGCTGCGTGTCCTGCAGCGGCGCGCGGTCTCCAACCTGTAATCTGAGTGTTGTTGTCTCAATTGTAATCTCATTACTTCTGGTTTTCTAGTTTACCTGTTCTGTTACATTACTCGTTACATTAGACATCTCTTGCCAAAAATAGGCCTATATCATTTCAATCAGTTTTAGCCTGAGATTAAAAATAAAATAAAATAAAAAAACAATAGGCTAGTCTACACGGAATAAAAAGAAATATACTTAAAAACAAATAAATTGTAATTTCAGATATTTCACAAGTTCTTTTGATTGGATAACATTACAATATTTTTCAAATGTATTAAAATCAACTTTCCTGCTTTTACTCAGTGGTGGAAGAACATAGATTGTAAGAGTAGCAATACTCCAGTGTAAAAATAGTCTGTTAAAAGTATAAGTGTGCATTCAAAATGTAAAAAGTATTAGCATCAAAATATTCTTAAAGCTGCAAAAGCAAACATATTACATGTGTCTTAAGACTGGACTATTATTATTGATCCTTTATTGTGAACATCACATTTAAAGGTGCAGCTGGGAAATGTAGAGCTAATTATCTACTTCACAACCAATTTATTAGCCTATTTGAATTATTGTGAATTTCCAGATGGTGATCAACAAGTCTTATTACTGTATTTAGTTTCATTCATCTAATCGTGAAATGTAACAAAACGTATTAAATAAATGTAGTGAAGTAAATCTGTCTCTAAATGTAGTGAAGTCAAAGTTAGCAGAAGATTAAAATACGCAGTAGTCTACAGATACCTCAAAGTTGTACTTAGGTACTGAGTAAATGTAGTCTACATTTTAATTTCCTCCTCTGCTATTACACATCCAAGTCTGTGCCAAGATATTTTAGTAATGTTGAGGAAAACAAATTGGTTGAGGAGGTGGAGAGCCTATCATTTATATTCAACCTGGCATTTAAGGGCTTAGGTGACAAAGGCAAGGACTTAATGAATTATAGCAAACCTTTATTTATTGGGCTGACAAGTTTTCTCAGGTAGGTAATGCTCATCAATAGGTAAAAGGACATGTTTTTGACAGTATAATTTTTTATTTGGTTGCTAATGAGAAGCACATACTCAGTGTTGTTAGCTGAAATGACAGGCTACAGTACTAGGAAAACTAACGAGACAATGCAGATTGCTCCCCCATCTGTCTGTGGGTAGGCTGTACCTGTCTGTCTCTGTGTGGCCGATCGGCAGCTCTGCGATCTCTCTGCAACTCCTGGAGAGTTAAAAAACCCCGCTCTGCTCCTCTGCGTCTCCTCCTCGATTGCTCTGTGACAGGCTATGCGCCTGCATGTGTGTGTGTGTGTGTATGTGTGTAAGTATGTATGTGTATGCATGAATTGTGTGCGTGCCTCGGCTGCTGGTTCACAGCATACAGTCACAATGAATGGCTGCCTGTAGCGAGGCGGAGGGAGACACTAGACCGCTTCTTCTGCGCCGCTCCTCCATTGAAACACTTTCCAGCAGAATACAGCCAAGGGGGTGAGTTGAGTACGGCGGGTCACCGACCACAGAGGTTCGGGCTCGGTCAGGGAGACGGGTCAGTCGGTTGTCCGAGCCCCGAAATGTGCGTTTGTCTTCGTTGTGCCGTCTTGAATTCGGATGGGTGAATTTGGATAGAAGGGTGGTGTGTGGTCTGCGGCGGTGTGTTGAAGTGTGGGGGTTTAGCTATTGTTTTTTTGTTGTCTTTTTAGGGGAGGGAGGTGGTAAAGTTGTGCTTTAGCTACTATGGGGGATGGGCTCGGGGACAGACCAAACTTTAACCACTTCACCGGCTTCACTCACTCGTTGCCGCGGGCTGTCACCTCATTCCCTCGGTGAGTGACTCGATGGGTCCTCCGCTGCTCTTTCTCCCACATTCCTGAACTTTCTCGCAAACTACTTGGTGTTTTGAAGGGGAGGGTGCAGTCTTTCCCCTTAACGAGCTGCATTTGAAAAGCGAAGGGAGACGCGTATTCCTCCAGTATCATGGTGTCCTGTCGGTAAACGGGTTAAGATTGTACATCCAACCCCCTACTTTGCTTTCCCCTCCTCTCTCATCTCGCCATGCCGGATCCATCCCTCCGTCTCGCCCACAGTTCCAGCGCATTGTGTCCCGGGATGACCTGTTGATGTCGGCTAAAGATGGAGTACCAGGATCGCCCCTCTGATATATACCCCTCTCCTCAATCGGGTAAAAATATAAACATTAACATGATAAAATTCCACAACGGAAGTGAACATGCTGTAATAACCGAGTCCGCCTTTTAGTGGAGATTTAATGCATAGCCAAAATCGTGATATATGATAAGCGACATTTTGGAGAGGAACAGCGCGTTTGTGTCCCGTATCGGTAGGTGCCATTCGACCGGAGGAGGCGGAGGGAACTCGGGCTAAAAGGACATCGCACCGCACTAGCACGGGTAGCGGGGACACTGAGAGTGTTACACTGCTGAATACCTTATCTCCTCGGCTATTTTTGTGACAGATTTCGTGTCCCCGGTTCCTCGTAGGTGTACTAATAGGGTGCTTGAAACAGATACCGGCCGGGGCCGGCTGAGGGCTCCCATATCCTACCGGGTATCGAGGCTGGCACACGGCGGGGCACCGAGGGCTCCCTGCCCGCTCTGACTGCCCTGCTCTCCCCTCCGGTAGCGGACTCTTTCTCTACGGAGGCGTCAACCGGCGAGAAGTCTGCTCTGCTAGATTTTCCACGTGAGACTAATTTATTTATGATTGATATGTATAGATAATGTGCCGTTTCTGAAGTTTCAGCTGTAGTGTGCTCAGGGGAGGCTACACTATAGCCACATTTTAGTGCATATCTGCCCACGAGTGACGGTAAATACACAGTTTAACGCCTTAAGTGTCTTTTAACTAAAAGCTACACAAGGCTGGACTTTATTAGATGTGATTTAAAGACATGTTTTGCGAATTATGTAGGCTAGGTGAAGTGCTTTACTGGTGCCAGTGTTAGCCTTAGCCTCAGCCTGCTACTTGCTAACAGGCCACCTTTAACCTCCCTAAACCAGGAAACTGAATATGATAATTAGGTAGTGATTGATGTTGCTATCAGAACCTTGTGGCAGTGTTGATTCATATGGTTGCTTGGATTGATTATGTGCCAGTAAACTGACTGCAATGGCTGAGTGACTTCTGTGTTATTTGGGTGTTGGATGAATATGTGGTTAGTCTGCATAAAGTAAACCAAAGTTTGTGGCTCTGGAGATGAATTAAAGTTACAGAGGACACACACACACACTTTAGGCTGGAGTCAGAGCAAGTAATGGGGCACATGAGGACTGCAAGGGTCAAGTGGTGTGAAATAACTTCTCTTTATGATTCCTGGAAGTTGTTGTGACCTCTGACCTGCGAGGGGGGGGGGAAAGGTGGCTGGTAGGATATCCTTGGGTGCCCTCCTG